AGTAAAAAAACTTTGAATGTATTTTACTGGCTGTTTAGAGTTAAGGATTTTTTTTGTACAAAGAGTTGTAAAATTATAGTTTTTTATAACATCTGTTACACAGAAAAACTTTAGAATATTTATAATAAAAATAATATTATTTGGTAAAAATGTGTCTTTTGCAGCTACATATATTTATCGGAACAAAATAAATGGTATCGTAATTTTTAGAAGAATTTCTGCAAGAAATAAAATAATACGATGCCCCTTTTTAGGTAGTGGATTAAGGCCCATTTTTAAGATGACTGATAAATAAAGTGTAGCATGTTCAAATAATTTTTTTTTTGAATTTTCAGTAATATTTAATTACATGTTGTCATGTATTGGTACATATTTACTATAAATTTACTAATTTTTAAACGATTTTTGACACGTTCGCATAAAAAATAATTCTTAATAAATCACTGCACGTTAAATATTATTAGAAATTAGTAAAAAAACAAGTTATAAAAAGTATGGTTTTAGTAAGTACAAAAAAATTATGTGCATTTTTATTAAATTTGTCTTTATTGTCAACAATACATGTATCTCAACATGCAGTATTTAAAATAAATTTTTAAACTTCTAAGGTATCCCTCGTATGTATGGGATTAATTTCTTTGTCATCTGATAGTCAACAATCCATATTTATGTCATTAGATGTTTTAAAATAATGTCAAAAAACTTCTTGTCCCTGTTAAAAAATAACCGCGTGATTTTTATGAATCGCATGGTGAGTTTAGACGAAACCACGGGGTTCACCGCATGGTTGTTTAATATATAGACTAAGAAAAAAATTGATTAGAGATTTGTATAAATTTTTGGAATTCGGAGTGGCCGGTATCCTTCAATCGGTAACGCATTCAACGTTTCTCACTTGTTTTGCGATCTCTGCTCTCAACAGATCATCCGGACGCTCAGCTATAAACGACAACGTCCTGGCTTTCAACATCGGGGCGCTGTACTTGTCGGCCAAAAATAAATACCCAAAAACATTTTCATCCCTCACCTTGTCGCAGAGTTTCAGCTCGCACAGCCGCTTCAGGTCCACCAAACCGTACTTGTCAGCCGCAACGAACAGTTTGTCCAACCTCCGGCTGTTGGCGTCGAATTTGCTCGAGTAAACAAACTCCAGAAGATCTTTCAAAGTCATCCGGTCGATGTCGTCGATTTCGACGCAACCGTCCCGGCTCTCTTTCATCCCGTGCTTGAACATGGCGTCGAACACAGGACTACGGACCGCGAGAACGCACTTGTGGGCCAAATACTCACCCCCGTCGTACGATTTCAGGGTCACGTCGCTGTAAGTGCGGTCCCCGTACAGTTGATCAAAGTTGCACGAGATTTTGTCGCCCCTACCGTCCGATTTTTCGGGGTTCTTGAAGTGGCCTCTCACTTCGCCGGCCCACCTTACCCAACAGGTGATCACGAGAACGTCGCTCTTGAGCAGCGGCAGGAGCTCCTTGCGCTCGATTATCCTGGAGACGCCGCACACGTAGTCTTCCGAAAAATCGTACGTAAATACTTTCGAGGTTTTAACAACCGTGCCAGCTTTATCCTGGAGAGTAAACTGGAATTGCGCTATGGTGACGTTTTTCGGATCTCCGCAGTGAGACTGCAGGAAAATGGATATCCAGCCCTCGGTGTCTTTGTTGTAACCAATTGGATACAGCTGCAATCCCCACTGTACGTTGCTGTGTTTTGAATCTGTGAAAGGCTGAAAAGAAAAAAAAAAAAATTGCGTTAGAGATTAAAAATATATTTCAGAACTACGTTGTCAAAGCGTTTGAGTATACCTTAGTCGCAACGCTGTCTTTCAATTTTTTGCCCAGATAGCTGAAATTTTTTATCTTCCATTTGAAATTCACGCGGTGGACGTGTACGTTGGTCTCGTAAACGATTTCTCCTTTGTGGCAAATATTTTCCGTGTCCATGATGAACCAAACACTTGGGCGATTCCAACACAGCTCAGTGGTTTTGAGGCGACTGGCGGTGTTATCAGGCTGATGGGTAATTAGTGAAAGTTGGTGTGATTCGGCGTTAAGTGTTGACACATTCTCTTTGGCAAACGTATTTAAAAATAAAACGAAAAGTTATAGTTTAAAGGTGCTTGAAGTTAACTTATCTCAAATCTGAGCTGGCAGACTGTTGATCACCCATTAAAATTTATTTCACAATTTTCTGAAGTTATTAGTCTGCATACGACTCGGTAACTCGTTATATATTTAGCTATTCAAACTCGGTGGAGGTAGAACTTCCTTGTACAAAATTTTAGATATCTGTAATTTTATTTGTGTATGTAGTGGAATAGCCCAAATCGAATCTTGAGCCATAACATAATAATAATGCAAAAAAAACAAGATATCACAAAACTATACACATTAACATGTTTAATACAATGAAATACGTGGATTCTCAATATATCTATGGTAATTTTAAGTTCAAATTTTTTTCCTCATAGTACGTGACGTTATGAATAAAATGAGTCTGGTTCAAAGGGCGTGCCTCAAAAAAAAGTGCGATAGTGCATAAAAGATTTACAACAATCCAACGTAACATCTTCAATCCCACATTTATTAGTCTCCGAAATCACGAAACTTTTAACTACACGAGACAAAAGCTTCACTAATCGTCAGCTCCACCAAAAAGTTCTATGAATAAATAATATCAATTAACATCAAAAACGTGATGGAATAATAACATGAATACAGTTGTTTTTTTTTTTTTTTTTTTTTTTTTTTTTTTTCACAAAGGAAAGGAGAAAAAGTCGACTAAAGTATTTGTAAATACATTTATTAAAATTCATTTAATTATTCTTTTTATTCTTTTCATGTACTTAATATTTACCGTTAATTGTTACACAAAATTATCCTATAAAAAAAAGTTTCTCAGTACTTGTAATCCTTCAGCCGCACTTTGGAGAGTTGGTAATGACTGCAATTGAAAACAATATTGATTGATTAATAAGTCATCATAAATTGTCTGATGTTTTTAAAATTTATAACTTTAGATGAATATAATACGCCAATACAAACGGTGTACGTTAAACTTTATTAATTAAAAATATCAAGTAAGAAAATGATTTTAAAAAATACAATGACTGACCTTTTGGAAGCAAAAGCGCATATTGTCTTTTCCCAGCTCGCTGTGTTCCGGGCCGTAAAAATAATTCATCGGAAATCCTAATACTCCAGTAACATTGGTAAACCAAATGTACTGGCTGATGTTTTTTGGAAAATCAAAGCTAAAGTCTTTCAGTACTGGCAATTTAACGACCAAACAATCTCCGGAATCTGGAAAGTAAGGAATCATTCCTGCCTCTTCAAAAGCATTTGTTATCATGTCTCTTTTAGTCTGCAAATTTCTGGTGTTGTTGTAAAAAAATGAATTGGGCGTGCCAAGATTTTTCAACTCATTTTCCAGTACATGGGCTACGGCGTCCTTTAAAATAAAAAAAATAAAAAACGAGAAGGTTTAGTTAAAAAAAAAAAAAAATTAAACAAAATGTGTGAAAACCAATAGTAATTAAACCTGTTGCATAGCCGGAGCACAAATCAACATTGTGGTGTGCACCGTGGATATTTCGCTAATCAGATGTTCTGGTCCATATGCCCACCCGATCCTCCATCCGGACAAAACGAGTGACTTACTTGCAGAACCGACGGTAACAGTCCGATCCAACATTCCCGGCAGAGAAGCTGGGAAAATACGCATATTTTTATTTTATGCCCCATAAATACAGGGGAGGAGGTAAAGTATGTACATAGGCAGTAAGTCAAACTTTACCAAAATTGACGAATTTTTCTGAGCCATAAACTGTCCAACCAAAAACTTCGTCAGCTACAACATACACATCGAATTTTTTTACTAAATTAGCTATAAACTGTAACTCTTCGAGAGTGAATACTTTGCCGGTAGGATTGTGCGGATTGTTCACAATAATTCCTCTTGTTTTGTTGTTAAATGCCTTTTCCAAATCCGTCCGGTTCAAAAACCAGTCTTTGCCACTTATTTTTTCCTTAGTATCGGGCTAGAAAGAATACATAACTGTCAGCAACTCATATTAAAATTATAATTATCATTATTTTGCGGATTGACAAATTTGGGCACAGATACTTTATCAATTACTTAAAAATAATTTTTTTTCTTAAAAGCAAGATGCCCTATTCATAGTGAAAAATTTGTTTAAGTAGTATTTACAAGATAGTGCTTCATTAAATTTTTTAAGCAAAAATGATGTATTCAAATTCAAAAGAAAAAATGATTCAGTAGAACTAAGTAATTAAAAAAGTATTTTAATATTTTACTAAAAATACCTTACAATTAACTTTAACAACTTAATGTATTGCACTTAAAGAAGAAAAACTATAGTTCAGCAAAAAAATTCACTTAATAATTTTCTTTTTAAGAGTTTAAAAATTTATTATAAAAATTGTGACCAAGTTGTATAATACACCACAAAAAATATTAAAGTTATTATTATATTTTTTGTTGCTATTGTTATAGTTAATATTATTATCATTTGAAATATATTTTACTCACCAATTTCATATTAACATACTTAGGAACACCTCCAACGAGTTCAACCATACTCTTAAAACCAGGCCAAAATGGATCTATGATAATCCACTCATCACCTGGTGAAGTTAAGTATTGGAAAGTAGAAAACAAGGCTCCACTTGCGCCAACAGATATAAAAATATTTTTATCAAATTCCAAATCACGATTTAGGCGTTTTGAATATAAAGCCGAGACAGCTTTTAATAGCCTCTCATCACCCTGAAAAAAAAAAAACAGTGCCATCATTTATAGAAAATCTTCTTACACTCTTGTTTATTAACATTGGAAAAAAATTTTTTTATTCTTTATTATTCTATTTTTGTACTCGTGTATATGCATTCAGTAATCATCGTAAATCTGTTCGTTCCTTCTGTTTGCTTATCAAGTTTTTGTTTATCATTTGAGAGTTTAAATTTTATTATTTACATTTTTATGTAAGCAGTGTGCGTACGAAACTGATAATCATAAAACAAATAATAAAAACCCGATTCCATCAATATTGTGTAAGGAAATGTTGAGAAACAAATAGTATGATGACACGTATGTACACAACTTGCACGCGCATATTGAAATTCATGTGACTCTACTAAATTTACAGATTTGTCGGGAAAAGAAAGGAATTTAATTTTTCTATATGCTGCATGAAAAGATAGATTTTAAAATCAGTTGAATAATTTTTTGAAAAAATGAATTTGTAAATATGCTTTCCACTAACTTTTGATGGAATGTACTGATTCAGCACAGCGATCTTCGACGCATTTATCAAGGCATTGAACACATACTCTGGAATGTTGTCATCAGTTTTATCTTGTTCCAAATCCACGTGAATCGGACGATTCAACTGTTCTCTTCACAGTCAACACATCAAAAGTCTTAACTTTTTAATATTTTCTCAAATTTAATATAATAATAATTTATCGAACGCTTCACTTACAGATCGAGTTGTAAGTTGCTACTACTGGATGAAGCCGATATTTTTGTAACTGCAATCGCCTAAAATGTAAGTTATACGGTTATTAGCTGTTGGACATTTTTCTACTTCGGACTTGTGGAATTATGGTTATTACATCTTAAAAAAAAAAAAAAAAAAAAAAAACGGGACTTCCCCTGGTGCGCATCGGTCCAGGGCTATCATAACAAACGTCCCAGTGATTCCCCTGGAGGAGATGCGCGCCAGTGGCAAAGTCTATACTATTATTACAAAACGTAATTGAAAATAGTTATTAAAAGTTTTTATGAAATAAAAAAATTTAATAATAATAATAATAGTTTTGTGGCTTATTTTTACACATAATTGTACTTACCAGTAAAATAATTAATGTGACGAAGAAATTTTTTTTCACGAGATTCATGATGTAACAGTACAAAAATACACGAACGCTTCGGATAATTTATTTTTATGGCGATGTTTTATTTAAAAACACTTGAAGTTTCGTTACATATTAAAAACAAAGATGATTTAAAAAAAAATGACATTTACACATAAACGCGATGTGCAGCTAAATGTTAGCTGTACTTGCTCGCTCAAATCGAATTGTCTAACTTGCAATTTGACTTTTAACGTCTCACCACGTGCTCTTATCAATGGAGTTGTTATGTTCACTTCTCCGAAACCAAAGCCTTAGTGTAACCATCACGTATGTCTTTAGTTTGTCGATAACACTCGTCAGCCCTTGATCAGTGCTGGCTTTACCACGTACAGTGCCCTTAGGCAATATTTAAGTTTATCAAGTTCTTTTAAGATAAATTAACTTAAGATGTTTTTTCTTAGTTACGTGTTGTATACACGTATTTTAAGATACATTAAAACCTAGTCTTGCAAAACTCTCTTATGATCCCTTCTTTTTAGTTAAAACATTTTTCTCTCAACTCTTTGGGATTTCAAAAGCAGTGCACATATAGACTTGGGGTCGCCTGTATAACGCCGGCACTGTCCTTGATGACTCAGTATTCAGCTACTAAAATGATACACAAAGAGACGTCTGGTACATCGAGTAAAATTTGATTAAAAGTAACAGTGTATTATTCTAGTTTTCAATTAAACTCTCCACTTTGATGATAACAAATAAGCACTTGATCTTATCGGAGCCTCTTATTTAGGTGTAGATTCTTCACGAGAAAAAGTTTAGTTCTTTTGTTTTCGCACGTAAATGTGCCAAAAAATTATTCAAAACTATTAATGTTTCAGAATCATACGGATTTGGATTAATACATTTTTTCATTATATACTCAGTGTGTCCTCATCAAATGCATCACCATACGATTGTAACTATACACCACCAACCATTCACTGTTCTTACGTAACATCATATATAATATGATTATCAGTATACAAATAAGAATAAACTTAAAGACGTTGCGTACTGATAAAATTATTTAGTCGTTTTGGAGCTTCCTACTTATTATTTATGATTTCCGGGTGAAAGTTGACACATGATCACTGAATAAAAGTTGTATCGGAAGCTTGAAAATATTTGATCGGAATTTAAAAACTTGTGGCAGTTGCGATAAGTATAGGTTCAACACATCAACGTGATTTCCTGCACTTCCATCTTCGACTGCCACAATACTATGCTTTGGTTGTCCCGAGCAATGAGCGCGTAAGAAAGACCAAAAATAACTCGTCAATCGACCAACGTAACGCAAACAATAGATTAAGAATATATAAAAAATGTCACGCATTTCCGTATAAATCGGAGATTGTGCTTGATAAGAAATAAACTTATCTACTGGACAAGGTCGTACAGTAAAATACGGTTAAAAATTCATGGAACAAGAATATAAGAGTTACTTTATTTGTTATTATATCCAGCACACGTAGTTGAGTCTCAAATGAAAGCACAAAAAATCGATACGAATATACCATTGCGCGTGAACGATAGCGATTTAATCGAATTCAATTATCTCAACTTAAACAAAATAGCAGTTTTGTTTTTTTGTTAAGCATTTGGACCATTTGTTACGGTCCAACAGTCCTTGACAAAATTTTTCATTTCCGGAGGCGAGGGCGCTCATATATATACCATTTCAACCGTATGGGCACAAAATGGCACTTTTCACCCTCGATAAGAAAATAATATAGTAAGGTTTTGTACTTGCTAGGGCATAATGTTTACCAGGGCAGTAACCGGGCCCGAAGGAGATAAGTGTATACATACATATATATTTATGCTTACTTTATGGTTGAGTATACACTACGAGCTGCGAATCTTGTTTATTCCTATCGAGGGCATAAAAAATTTTCAAATAAAAAAATGGTCGAGGTGTAACGACGTAAAGTTATGATGAAAAATACCAACTCTTAAATCTCGAAAGCTTTCAGATTTTTAACAACTAGTTGTACTTATTGATTTTTTTACGTAAGTATCGTAAATTTTGACATTGAAACGCGTATATATCTAGCCTTTATTTTGTCCTGTAAGATTTTTACTCTAAGTACATCTATCTTGATGAATACAACTGATAACAAAAATAAATCTTGAAATAAAAACAATAGTTTTACATTTCACTTGGTGTATTATCAAAGATAAGATGTTATTATAAAATCAAGTGCGAGGGAAGCAATCAAGTATATATAATCCACTTCGCAAGTACATCGTGTGCGTAAAATCTATTGGCATTGTTCTATTTTTTTATTTATTATTTCAAGGTAAGTAGCGGTACTCCTTTTCGAAAACTTATTTCGTTGAACGATTTCATCCCAATAATTGTCTTGATCTCAGAGCAGATGCTCAAAAGTTTCAGCAAATCCCTCGACAAGTTATCCGCCGATTTCGGGCAGATCAAAGCCAAACAAGAATCCACGGACGTGGTCTTCCACTCGCTCGGAGAAAAAATCCCGGCCCACTCGGCGATCTTGGACGAGCGGTGTCCCTACCTGCTGAGGGGCGTCAAACGGGCCTCGAGGAAGTGGAAGAAGCGCAGCCACCAGAAACCGTACGTCGTCAAGTCCCTCGGGAGCGCCGAAGTCGAGGGTCTCCTGCACCACTTGCTCACGTACGTGTACACGGGAAAGGTGAGCGGCATCCACCTGGTGGCCCACCGCCTCCTGGCAGTGGCTCGCGAGGATTGCTGCGACCTGCCCGAGTTGAGGAGCATATGCGGAAAGGCGCTCTGCGAGAACGTCGTACCCCAAAATTGCGTTCCCATGCTCATCATCGCCCACGAGAACAACTGCAGGGACCTCAGGATCAAGGCGATGGACGTTGTCGTGGGTAATATGGCGAGCGTCGTCGAGACCGATGAATTTGCACGGCTCTACGACTGCGGGGAGTTGTTCAAGGAGGTCATCCGCAAACTTGTTGGCGTTACGGACGCACGTGATGCGAGCGCGTATTGATTGTTTCCCTCTTCTATCTCTATAATAGGTATTGAAAATCAGTTGCTGGATGTTTCATGAATATTTAATTATTGGCGTTTTTAATTTGTTCCGGCCTTCTCGTTGCTTGTTGTCAAAAAGGATATTTCATTTTTTTATTTGCAACAGCGCAATTACTCATCTCAAAAACGACTTTCAGTGTTGTCAGTTGGTACATGTCTTGAATAAAAGAAAATATCATGTGCTGAAATAATAACCAACAAAAACTATCAATGTTACTAGATGAACAAAAAAAATTGTGAAGTATTGAAAGAAAGAAGTGATTATTTTCTTACAAAATATATATTTGACAAAACACGAGGAAAGGCTTGTCGTGATTTGACATTCAACAATTTTATACAACCAAAGTGTAAGACACAAAAGAAGTTTACCTTACAATATTTATAAGCATATGTACACATAATTCTAAGATAAATTTGACCAAATTGTGTTATTAAAAAAAATAAATTATCAATTGTATTTCTACAAAAGTAAAACAAAATTGTAGTGGCTTAAGATTTCTTGAAAAAACTCATGAGAGTAGTCTGTTTTTTGGCTTTATTATCCACTGGCTTTGCCTTGGGTGGTGGTTCTTGAACTGCCTCCTTCTCATCGTCTTCAACAGCTTCGTACACATGTACTCTCTTTGTAACTAGATAACCTTCTTCGTCCAAGTAAGTTTTATCCACCAATTTTCTCACCATGCGTTTACCATTTTCTCGCTTTTCAGCAGGTGGTGATGGTGATCTCTTTTTAACTGGTTCTGGTGGTTCCTCTTCTATTTCCATGGGCTCCTCCTCTCGTTCGTTATCACTATTGTCAGAGTCATCTTCACTTGAATCCATTACAACGATTCGTTTTCGTTTTGATGCGTTACTTTTTTCTTGACTTCTCTGTCGCTTTTTACTTTTTGCATCACTTGCACTACTTTTACTTTTGGTTTTGGTATTAGTCTTGTTATCCGTTTTTGTCGCACTCTTAGATTTATCGTGGGATGATTGCTTCTTATCATCTTTGTCTTGGTGGCTTTTCTTATTTTCCTTTTCTTGAACTTGCTTTTGTTCCTCTTTAGTTTTGGTTACTTCTATCTTGTTATCTACACTTTCTGTGGTTTTCTTTTCTTTCTCATCGTTGCTTGAGGCTTTTTTAGATTCAGTAGACATTGGCTTGCTTGCCACTTTTCCAAAAAGATTACTAAATCCAGCTTGCTTCGAGTGAAGTGGCTTCTTAGATACCTTATCACTCTTTCCACCACTAGTTTTGACAGGAGGCGACACTTTTTTTGCTGCTGCTGCTGTTTGTGCTTCTGGTTTGGATTCTTCAACTTCCTTTTTTACCTCGGGTTTTTCTTTTTCCTTATCAGCTTTTTTCTCTTTGTTATTTTGAAAGAAACTAGTTTGCTTTGGTGCTGATTTGTCAGGAACTTTACTACTCACAGGCTTGCTTGTCACTTCTACTTTGTTCATACCCTTAGAAACATTCCCAATATATCGCAAGGCATCGATTTCATCGTCATCTCTGAGAAATTTTTCATCACATTTGATGGCACTGTAACGAAGATCCCCATCGCCAACAAGTGCTAGCAAGGAAATGTCTGGTAGGCACTTCTGTAAACTGTACAAGTGTTGACAATCAATTGTAACAAACTTCTTTTTTGCAGCATCCAAATTGGACTCCTGGACAACTTCAATGCGAATGGATCCATCTTTCAATCGGCCTATGAGCAGATAAGTAGCAACAATGTCACCTCGGCTCTGGTACTTTTCATAAAACTGTTTTAGTATGTCCTTGGCAACGTTAACGTGAATTTCCAATTCTTTGCTCAACCACTTGTAAGTAACCTAAACGATAATTAACAGATTAGATGGTGCAATAAAAATAATCAACATTTACATCAGCTTGAAATAAAATTTTTTCTTATCAACGAAATAGAGGTTAAGTACGAGTAAGCGTATTACCAGCTTATCATCGTCGTGGATGTACGATTTCAAGGTGCTCTCGTAATCACTCAGTGACATTTTTCTTCGGGAAATACACTCGATTATCGATCTTCAAGTAAACCAAAGCGAAAACAAAGTAATTTATATTTATTAGCAACTAACTCCACTTTTACGCAGAGCCTTCAGTGTGTGTTTACTTTCTACTTGCAGAAAAAAAAAAAATGCGCGCTAAAAATTAAAGTACTGCACGCGAGTGACATCTACATGCGACAACGACAACGGAACAGCGGGAAATTTTAAATCTCGAAATATGCACGGTGTACTCTTTTTTTGACTCACTTCGGCTGCTTTATCGCCAAGTGTCTTGTTCTGAATCCCTGAAGAATACAAATGCTTGTATTTAAAAAAAAAGAACGTTCACTAACGTAAAAACAGCGTTTTTCGAATGCAAGGGCTAATGTTTCGTTTAAAAATTAAATAGGTAACTCTCTTGTTCATGCAATTCTAACGGACTCGTCCACAAAATTGCTCTCCCACGTGTTACTCTCGATACCGATTTCGGTCTATTCCAATCAATTTAAAATCGAAAACACTCGCGACCACCACACCTATTATTTTAATGATGAAGAAAAGAAACAAAACAAAAAACGAACACTAGAAAATTCCGTAAAATTCCAACGCGAGTCTGTATAGGTATTATTCGGTACAGCCAAACGTATACGCTCTCATCTTTCTCTCGCGCACGGAGAGAGATCGAATGACAGTTCCGTTACGCTCTCGTGTCCATACGGTACCCGTAAACTCGGCAAGAGCGCCGAGACATCATCCATCAGTTCATCGGCAGCAAAAGCGCATTTCATTTTGCAAACGTCTTGAAAAACCATACATATACACTCACACACGAAAATCCCATCGATCTTTTCTCGTGTGCCTTTGAAATCGTCCCCCTCCACCCCCCCCCAATTATACAACTTCTGCACTTATCAGCCTTGCAGTGCCGGTCACCGACAACAGTATATATACACGTGTATATATACATGTAGTAATGACACGTGCAATGCAATGCGGCCTCCTCTGTCCGCCTCTTTCAGAGGACCGTTTCGCGGAATGTCGAGGGAATGACCGATTTTTCGAGGTATACCTTCTGATAAATGAGGGTTTATGAAACTACTGCGCATTTGACCCGTAAGAAAAATAAGCAGTTTTCAGCGCGTGAGATTCCCTCAGTTGTGTGTAAGTAAAAACGAATGTAGATGAATTTTTGATTTGATTGTCGCGCGAGTGCGCACGTTAATCGGTAACGATTTTACCGATCCATCGGCAGACCCCGCGATCCATTCGCTCGTAGAGGGGAATCGAGGCAAAGAACATACTAATTTTGGAAATATTACCCACTTTTTTTGTTGCGTTTTCACTTGGATACACGCGTTAAATTACACGCGCTGCGAGAGTTTGGAAGTCGGGTAAAACGCAACCCAGATCCAGAAAAGACGGGGGAAGAGAAAATCGCGCCAACTCTCTTTTTTCTCGGGTATGAGAGGATCATCGGGGGTACACGTATACGTGACATTTTTTAATGAGCCGCACTGTCCGTCAATCTCCCCGCCGTCTGAGAGTTAATTTCCAACGCGATGAAGGGATATTACTTTTCGGTGTACCTGGAAACTGCAAATTATCGCTTCTGACTCTCTCGAGTTTCACCATTTTAGGAGCCGAGGCAGGAAAAAAAAAAAAAAGTATTGTCAGTATATTGTACACGCGAGTGCATATTTGCATAACATAAACCTTCGTTTGGGATTTTCTCAACAAAAGCGACCTCGAAAATTACGCGTGTAAGCGCACAAAAGAAAGAGAGAGAGAGAAATCCCGGTGTGTGTCGGTATTATCGTTAATTTGCCTATAATAGAAAGTGTCGGCGGTGCAATTATTTTCATTGTGCGCGAATTACAAACCATCCACACCGATGTACACATAATACACGTGATGGTCTCTGTGGAGGAAAAAATAAAAAGCTTGCATATCGAATGTGTCGAAGGAAAGCGAAATTTCTCCTCGCATCTCCTGTAAAAGTATATACCCACTCATCCCCAACGGCGCGTCGAAGCCGCTAATCTGCTCGTGTGTGCATAACTTTTTCTCACAAATCGTTCGTTCTCTTGTGCGGCACATTGGAGTCTTTGCCATAAGAGAATTGTATCTCGTATATAGCGGCGATTCGTGTATAGATGAAAGTGCACTTTCTGCGCGGGGTGATTCAATCGAGGAGCGAAGATGCCGCGATGCCGATGATGTTTGCTCGGTGGAGTGTACGTATAAAGTTGGCGGCTGCTGTACTATATTTCATCCATTAGCCGCGCTTTCTTCCTCGAGCGATGTCATTCTAATCTTGGGTAATGAACTTTTACCCAAGTTTTTTTTTTTTTTTTTTTTTTTTTTTCTTTTTTTTTTTTTCCCAAGTAAAACTTGGTGACGAATGGCATTGAAACTCACATTTCAGTTCAAGTTGTTCGTTATTTACAGTTTTTGTGAGTTTTATAAGATTAACAGGAAAATTTTACCATTATACATGGTAATTATCTGAAAGAAGTACATTTTTACACCCCATAAGAAACGTAGATTTTCATTGAAGTGTGTTAACTAGTAGTACGTAAAAATCACTAGATTTACGTTTGAAGATCAAAAAGAGATATTCAGTTGCAAGCATACGTGAAGAAAACTCTCTTTGCATATGAATATGCACGCGCAGTATGCTCAAGTTTCCTTCCTCCCAACAAAAGATATATTTCGAAAGAAGAACAAACGATTTTTACAACATTGCATCGATATATCTAATGGTCAAGAAAAGTGTTTGTCCTTCATTAACAAAATACATTACAAATTACGACGCATGATACCCAACGATCCAGAGACTCGGAAAAGAAAAAAAAAAAAAAAAAAAAAATCGTTGTGATTACCGATTTCCGTTGACACTAGAGATATAGGAAGTAACAGCACTCGCTGCACGAAAGCAGAGGAGTATAGACGGGGCCCATTTCATGCCATTCTTTGCTGTACATGTACGTTCAAAACCGTTAAAAGTATCTCACTGCCGATCTTCTCGACGGCAAATCGATTTCCATCCCGCTTGGCTCACTCGTACATATTATTATTAAACCCCTGGTGTCTTATAATATAATATAAGGTAATTTTGCATGTCGTTCGATGACTTGCCGATCTCTGGAGTTTGATACTCTAATAAGAAAAAGTCTTTCGATTTTTACGTTATTTTTTTTTTAAATAAAAAAAGAAAAGCTTCTTAGTATTGCTAACAAAATCCGTAAAGTAATTCAGAAAAGGTTTTTACGAACAAAACGACTTTGTTGGTAACGTAAGTGAGAAACGCGCGCGGAAATTTTCACGAAAATTACTTTCTAAAAAGAGTAAGTGGAACGTGTTTTGCCGTAATTCGCGTTGTTATGTCAACGACGTATTGCATGTGTATACGTATATAATACCTTCATGCGCGTGCCTTTTCCTAGCCACCGTCATCGTTTTCGTCGTATATGTTACAGGGAAATCGCGAAGATACCTACACGAGCTTCCATTACACGCGAAATGACGAGGAACTTGTATGGTTTTCTTTTTTTTACTTGGAGTCGTTGTCGAGTTACATATCACTATATGAAACTGGTGAGTTTACGTGATGTTTGTTAATATTATTATTTTTTTCCCCCAATTGCGTTGATGATTGCCTATTATGTAATAATTTATAAACACATGTGTGCATGGAAACTGAATTACTCGTTTGGAAATTTCGTACAAAAATATTTTTTATTTGATTTTCTACAAGAGTAATTTTCTACAAAAAATTCAACATTACCAATGAAAATTTTTGTTCAATTAGCACCTCCTACAATTTCTTTTACACTTATTATACGTTTGGGTATTAAACTTTTCATGATTTTATAATTATAATCAAGTACGTCGTACAGCACGCAAAATCACTTATAAACACAAAAAACACGAAATTTTTAAATCATTTATTGTATAAATTCAAGCAAGTAATTGAAGCTTAACCGAATCGATCATGATACGTTTGAAATCTCTAAAAAAATTTATATTAATGAACTAAATATCAGTATAATCATCAATGTGGTTGAATGATATTATACATACTTAACATATCAAGGCTTAAACCTTTTCCACTTAAAAAAAAAAAACAATGTATTTTAAATCATGCATAGAGTTTGTTTAAAAAAATTTTACTTATAAGTAACGTATTTATAGTTACAGTAGTTTTGATGAAAAAAATTATTACGACATATTTGACACAGATTTAAGTACATCGTAATAAAGAACTGGATTCATACCTAATAAGTTTCGAAAAGCTTCGGTTTCGAGCACTTCTATGATGGATTTGTATAAAATCCAGGGAATGTTTCTTTAAAGTAATCGCTTGATGCTGATCCGACGAAAATAAATATGATGCTGCGTTTTCGATGTTTAAATTCTTGAGGCATTCCTGCTCGCACATGGCCTTCAAAAGATCAAGTGCATACTTGTCGGCAGCAGCCATTAATTCAATCAAATTGCACTGTTTTTTCTTAAATCCACTTGTATAAATAAATTCCAACATAGTTCTAAGGGTATCTCCATTAAAATCTTCTATCCTGACAATAGACTCTTGAGCCTCCCTCATGTCGTGTTTCAACATGGCAGCAAAGACAGGACTACGCGCCGCAAAAATATTCTTGTGAGCCTTAAATTTTGCACCATCATTTGCCTCTAAACTTAAATCACTAAAAATACCCTCCTTTAAAAGCTGATTAAAATCATTTGACAATTGTCTTTGAGCACCAAAGAAACGTGCAGGAATACATCCTTGTACATTTATAAATACGATAACTGGCCGACGTGACCTGAAATGAACGATGGAACCATAAAACGCACCCTCACTTACGTCTGCGTCGTCCGACCACATATTCTGTTCAGTTTATTTTCTCTTGTTTCCCTTGTAATGTGCAGTATTTTTGAGCAAAGTTAATTAAATTTGCTGTCTACGCATGTACTACAATTATCTAGTTTTTCAAGCTTGTCAGGGATAAATTCTCCGGAGTCTGGTGGCCACAAGCAACTATCTAGAAATGGCCTAAAGTCAGATTATTTTTTAGTACTTTACCTACTTACGGGCCGATTAGGTGACCGTAACAGATCGTACATGCTCAAAATGAATCAATTTCGTTTAATTTAAGTGGTGTGCATATACGGACGCTTCTTTTATTATCTTACACAATACAAATAGGTTCAAGAATAATAACATACATTGATAAAGATCTTGAATAAGTGAGTACTAATCGTTGAAAAAAAAAATTTCTTACGATCAAGAAAATCTTTATTAGAATAGTTGCATGCAAATAGTTTTTTAAAAATAAGATCTCACATTGAGAAAACATTTATTTTAAATATTCTGAAATATTCTGAGTGTGAGAAAATATTATCTTCTTTCAAGAAAATGTATACTTGAAACTGTTCTAGTAAATATTTTCTTGATTTTAAGAAATTTTTTCTCTCGGTATCTAGAGCAAATTGTGGTAGTAAGAATATTCACTTAGAATCAATTTTTGATATGTATACTTTTTTTTTTTTTTTTTTTTATATTGACAGTGATAGTGAAAAACAACCTTTCTTTCGTTGATTTTTTCATCCTAATAATATAAAATTTCATACTCCACGTTATTATTACTAGTATGGTGGGACCGTTTAATTATTTTTCTGCAGTATGCTGCAGTGCATCCATCACGAACTGACAACGGCGCTTTTAAAAATCATTTATAGCGTGAAAAAATCAGTTAGTAGTTGAGAAAAAAAAAGTTTGTGCGTGTTTGTGTAATTAGTCATACATATGGGTTTCATCAATAAATTTGTTAGTTCGTAGCTTTAAAATTTTGTTTTAATTGCCTTCGTGATGATAATTCAAAAGATACATTTTATTTGTACCGTCGACCTTGATTTTTTTACTTTAAAACGGTTGTTCATTGTTTACTTAAATGAATTTCATGGATTTTCTCATCGTATATAATAAAATATAATATGCGATGGAAAGCTTTTGGTCGTTCTGTAATTAAATCGAAAATATTTTTTTGATTTATCAATTTGAAACCGAATACATGTATCAATGAAACTTTTACTAGATATTTTTGACAGTAAGTAACTATTTCGTTTTAAAAAAAATTTTAATTAATTTCACTGCAAATATTTTTCATTGGTATTATAGCATAGTTAAAGTGCTGCAGATATTTTAAATATTTCTGAGCGACACTTTTAAAAAACAAATGCATCAACACATAATTTTTATCCCCAGACAGAAATTATTTTAAGAATACCAGTACAATACCTACTCTAGTTTAGTCTTGCCTCAAAAGTCATCAAAGGAAAAGTTGAGCAATAAATTTAGGAATATTTACTTCTAAGAAAAAAAACGAATGAAAAAAAAATTGAAATTAATTTTTTTTTATATCTACATAAAAATTGCCATAAATGGCCCTTAGAATCGGTCAAGCAAATTAATTCAGCGAAGTCGAGTAATAATTGTTTATTTGAAATTGACGAAAAAAAACTCTGAATTTATCAAAACGATCTCCGAGGCTCCAAAATTCCAATGAAATAAAAAAATAACGATTCAAATTACCCGAAAAGAAAAAAATGGCACTCTGTTGAATTCACATTGACTCCGCGGCACAGTGATTCAAAATTGCTTTTTGGTACATAGGTATATACGAAGGTACACGCAGATATCACCCCAACATTTGCAACCGAGACAGTGCAGCCTGGGAGAGAAAGAGAGAGGTCCGAAGAAAAGAGAAAGAGAAGGGAATTAACGTGTCGTACCGGCTTGGTTACTTATAAATACATGTATATATAGAGAGAGAGAGACTTGGTCAAAGTAAAATAAAAAGAAAAAAGGGTTGCTGGAGCGTAGGTGGGGGAGAAAAGGAGAGGAGAGAAGCGCGGGACTCTCGGGCGAAAGGAGTAAGTATATAGTCGGCCGCGAGACTCTCTCGTGCACTTCACCAACACACGGACACCCATTTGCGTGTACTTCGTGTGTGTATGAGACATATACACACATATTTGTGCGCGCCGTAATCAAAGAGAGGAGGACTGGAGGAGGAGAGAGGCTGGCCCGCTGGTTATACTATGGTAGCAGATGGTAGTCCGGCAGTGCGCGCTGTACTGCGGATGCACGACTTCGGGTGGCGGTATAGCGCTCCTGTGTTCTTCCTCCTGTCGTCCCGAGAGAAGATAAATCTCTTGAGGATGTTGTTCTTTATATTTTTGTGTTTGTAATGTTGTTGTGTTTGTCGTCGTTGTCGAGGGTTGAGATCGGATGAGAAAATCGGTAAAAATCGGTACCGGTAACCGGTAAGAAACAGCATAACAAGTGAAAATCCTTCGGTGGTCTGGTTGGTGATTTGTTCGTTTGAAAATTTTGTTGTTGTTGTTAAGTACTGTGAATTTTTTTTTCGTTCACCACACGAGGAAAGCATGTAGTTGTCACCTGATGAACTTACGAACACGAGGGTGCACCGGGAAGTTTTGAGAGAAACGCCAATGCGGTACGTGTGTCTGCACTGTATTAGTTTATCACTATACGTCACACATCTGCATGTAAATAACGTACGCCTAAATAAAATACATATCAGGGTAACATCGTACGTGGAGGTAGAGCGCATCTTCGTTTTTGTTTACTTTTTTTTTTTTTTTTTTTTTTTTCTTACCCTCCGCGGCAAATTCTATTAACTGGATTTGTGTTCACGTATTCCTAATGGGTAGAGATTTTGTGCACGTGTGTACGTGTATTCAAGCGGGCAAATTATACCTGTATGCATATGATATATACACATCCGCGCTCACCATCCCCTTTTAGCCGGCAGCAAATTTAATTAAAGTGTTATGAGGCGCGAGAGTCATTTCCTCGTCTTCTCTGCTTTTGTACTTAACGTGTGTGTGTGTGTATGTGTGCGTGTGTGTGTCAGCAAGGGACTCGACATTGACACACATATTGCACCGGTTTTGCCATTTTTCTCTCTGTTTTCTTCTGTACTTTTTTTTTTCTCCTTCATTCCAGTATCCCTTTAGAAAGCCGATCGCTGCTGCTGTGACCTTTTTTACACCAAATATATGTGTTTATTATCTTAATTTCCGTAATAGGATAATGATTCGAAGGTTGTGCACTTACTTTTTTTTTTTTTTATATCATCGACGTGCTTCGGTGTGCACAACAGTGTACCCGATAGTTAACAGAGAAGGTGTTCGCAATTTGTTACATGTTGGGGTATAGTTTTTCCTACCGATTTCACACCGATTCATCACAATTTATTTGTCCGCGCTAGAAAAAGTGTCCCATTATCGATTGTTGTCCCACATTGGATTTCAATCAATATATTATGACAGCACGTGTATGCGATCGCCACAAAAGATAAATCGTTATAGTATTTTTTCACCCTGCCCCTCGCACCGTGATGGTTACAAATGGTTGTTCCATTCATTATTACCTGGATCGGCCATTTGTTACATACGGTCCATCAACTGGAAAGAACTCGAATATACATATGCGAAGAAACGCACTCCGAACAAGTGTGAAGATCGGTAGAAGTATCCGTCATTTATCGATGTACCCAACAGGTTTCACACTACTTTACCTCTCGCTCGAAAAATCGGTCAACACCGGACACAGTGTGATCTCACGCGATACCGATCTTCCGATCGTTTACGTATACAGGCCAACGCAAGGCCATCGGAAACACCCAAAAATAACCCACAACAAGATAGAGAGAGAAAGAAAAAACAACGAAGAGCTACAAAGAAAAATAAAAAAAAAAAAAAAGAACGAGCGTCACACAAAGTGTACCGTGAAGTTTGCGACCTCGCAAACGGCCTAACTATATATATGTGCCGCGAGAGCCGCCGCCGCATCTTCCAGAGAGAGCCGCTCTTTCTCCACCGCTCGAATATTTTCAACTTAAGCGCGGATAAAATCCGGAACGTAACGGGTCCTTCCTCTCCTCTACCGACGGCCCCCTTTCTTCTCTCTCTCTCTCTCTTACGTGCGCTACGTATACCCGTATACTCGAAAACAACAAACTCGGTGGATCTAAAAAAAAAAAAAAAAAAAATCGCGGCAATCGCGAGTGATCGGCGTAACCCGCTGAGGTATATATGTATATATGGTGGTGTGCGCCCATACGTATACGATGTATTCGTGGATAAAATGGAGAGAATAGATCGCGAGCGCGAGGAATGTGCAGGGGACCTTTTCCCTCCCTGTATATACCCCTTTACTTTTATACAGTGCGAGAAATGTATCGGGCGACATGGCAATGTATACACACATACTCGGGTGCTGCTCGGCTTTTTGGTGTATACAATAATAATAGTATATTATATACGTCTGTAATGTCGCTTCGAGGCGCGCATTGACTACGGGAAAAACGAAAACCCATACCTCCGCGGTGCAGCGGCTCGATCGCTCTCACGTTCGCTTATTCGTATGCCGATGCTGTTTGGCCCCGACAGCCCGCGAGACGCATAGGTATGGAAATTAACTATATATTTATGTGATGCTCTCCCTTCCGCACCTCTTGTACCGATGAGAGTTATTTTTTTATTTTCTAATTTTTTTTCCGTTTACGATTATACTGCGATGATCGGTATCCGCTTGATGACGATTTTTTTTTTTTTTTTTTTTTTTTCGTGATTGAAGCGCGTGATTAACACATTGGATTAAGAACATTTCCCGCTAAAGTAATTGGTCGCCGAAAATAATTTGTTTTCTAGTTTGCCGACATGAAAAATGGTTGCACTTTGATATTTTTTGATGAAAAATTTGGTTGTCCCTTGAAAACCTGATGCCTTTAGTCGCGAATCGTTGAAAAACAATTTGTTTTTGTCCACAAAATAATTCTTTGTTCGTATAGCAACAAATCGGATTATTTTATGAAATAAATTGATCCAAAAATATAGGTATGTTGTACATCACGTCCACAGGACATCACGATATACAATTAATAATCATCTTTCGCACAAGAAATTAATCAAGATTCATTAACTCGTCCTTGTTAGCATAAATACTTATCAGGTAAAATTATTTATGAAAAAAAAAAAAAAAACTACCAATTTGCGAATACACTTGCTCATACATGATATATATGCGTAAACCCGTATATTAATCCGTCGCATCGGTTGATACCGTTGCATTCCCAATATATAGGCCACGTGCTCCGCGGCAGATACGTAACGTTAACGCCTCGGTCTCCCATAGACTATCTGGCGACTGATAAATATCTCCGTGTTCCGTAAGAGTCGCTCTTTCATTCTCTTTTTATGTTTGAGCTAAGGAATCGAGTGGTTTCTCCAGTCTCGGTGTGGTAAATGAATTATTGTAGATGTTTAAAAGAAAATAAAATTAAAAAAAGCCTCCCAAGTATAATATAGGAGCAAGGAACTCGGCGCGTCGCGAGAGAATTCCAGGTCAGAAAACGCGTCCGCTCACTCGGCTGTTTTTCCTTGTTCTTCTTTTTCTCGTCCTTTTCTCCGTGAGTCGGTCTCGCGAGCTCCGTTTGCTCACTCCGAGCTGTACAGTAGGTATATATATATATAT